TGAAATATTTTTGATTAGGTAAAAAAATACATATTTTGGTGTAAAAAGGTCAAAGTCTACCCACATGACAACTTCTGGAGGATAATCCTCTTGTATCAATAATAAATATCATGTAAATTCCTCAAATAATAAAAAGTATTATTGTATTTAGCATTTACCTTTTATTTGGCTCCAAAAAAAATGAGATTCCATCTTTATAAATCATGCAAAACAAATCCAAATGGACTAACGTCTATGCTCCCCCTGCTGAAAAATCCAGCTTAAACCAGCCTAGGCTGGTTTAAGCTGGATATTTCAGCAGTGGGCCGTGTATACAGAAGCGTAATTTAGAGTATCACTTCTAGAACTCATATAAGTTAGCTTTAGATGCATTAAATATGCATGCAGTTACATTTATTTAACACAATGCTCAAATTCAATATTCCAACAATTTCCATCTGCTGTGTGCATCATTTATAAAGATTGGATCAGAATAAGCACATCAGCACAAAAATGAAGCTGAACTCATGAATCAGTGAATGATGAGGATTGAGATTGAGATTTTAAGGGCTGTATATCCATAAAGAATCACATAATGCATTCATGGGTCTGCACAGAAGTCACTTTTATCAAACATTTAATACGTGATTGCATTGGCAAACTAGCCCACAGGAGGATGAAGGTGAGGAAACGGCTGACACTCGTTCAGCTCAGACTCATTGTGCATTTCGGTCCAGTTTCTCGTTCATTTCACATTCGTTTCACGTGCGCGTCTTAATGGATAATTGTAAATGAATTTGGCTTGCTGGCTTTGAAGGAGCAGCTCAGCTCGCTAACACTGTTGAATAGAGTGAGGAAGAATAAAAAGTGATTCGACTTCCCTCAAACGTACATTTACAACTTTCTTTTGAAAACCCTGTTTTGGAGGAACATATTTGTTTTGTATGTTTCAGTGTTCACCGCGACACATGATAAAAGCTGTATTTTCCACTGTAAAACTAGATTCAGTGCTAAACATCTGTGACGGCGACGCGCGCAAATGTTTAATTTCCACCATGCCGCGGCAAAACAACATCATGCTATAGACCTTTTTCATGGCTGCTGCATGGCGGGCGCCATAGCGACCAGCGTCTTCCGGTAGAATGCTAAAAACTTCTGTTTACAGCGTGTTCAACTGGTAATTTGCGCTCCGAAAATGGGTTTCAATCACGTTTTTAATAGATAACAGAGTGTTTTTGTGACACAACTTAGAAATGTGTCTGTTAAAGCCGTTATAATCTGTCACATGTGGTTCAAGCGCATCAGAAATACGAGAAAAACGTTCTCCTAGTTCACGTGTCTGCCGTCAGAAATACAGTGTGTGTGTGTGTGTGCGTTCCCGGCCTGTCAGCTGTTAGCTCAGCGGCTCTTTAACACACACACACACACACACACACACACACACACACGCACACACACACACACACACACACACACACACACACACACACACACACACACAGAGAGAGCAAATCAGAGTACTGGCATGAAACTTAACAGGTATGAAAGTCGTGCAATTTACAAAAATGAGCAATAAAAGTCTGTTATTGATCCTCTGCTGCTGATTTGCTGTTCATGCTAATCGCAAGCCGTTTGTGTTTTATTTCGTGTGTTGTTTTCACCACGGTTTGTGTTTTTCTGTCATTTGGAAATGACACTAGCCTATATTTTCACTTTGTCACAGTTATTAAATCAGTGTGTCAGTGGCACAGTACAGGCTACGTGTGTGTGTCAAACATTGTGGTGAACTACATGTGTTCGGGCTGGTTATATATTTGAAATAAAGAGAAAATGTTGACTTTAGCGATGACGAGGCTTCATTTAAACTGCAGAAGATGCCGTCTGACGACGAGGGGAAAACGCCTCACAGCAGCTGTTTTCCATCATATTAGATCTCATTTCTGTAAATGATCAGTCCAGGAGATGCTGCTGATGGACAACAGTGTTAGTTCAAAGAGGATAAAAGCAGGTAAAATAGATTAAAACTATCGTTTCAAAGCTGTCCAAATGTGACTGTTTACACGCATCAGCTGCCGACCGGAAGTTCTTCGCATTCTCCTTGCGCATACACGCAAAGCATTATGGGTAATTTTGCGTTCCAAGAAAAAGGTCTATATGAGCAATGATCGCCTCAGCTACATATTATGTGCTTTTTTTGTATGTAAATGCTGCCAATCTGAGTTTAAACACCATTTTACGTGACATTTATTGCCATCGTGCTGAAAGCAGCTGCAGATTCACCTCAGATCTTGAAATTAAAATAACTAGCACTAGCACTGATGGTCTCAGAAACGTGACTCAGAGCAAACCAACAACATCACTCAGTAGACTATTAATGATGTTAAAGAGGGTTATTCGATTAAAAACCTTACCATTTGAATGTAGTGTCTGCGAGTGAATGGCTGGTAACGTTAAATGTTTATAGTTATCATTAGCCTGTTAGGTACTGGCAATGCTAATAAAAGACTCTTCCTATACAAATCCAGAGAAGTTTTAGATTTTGTTGTCATAACCCTGCTTAAAAAACAGCTTAAAGCTAGTTTCAGCCATTTCAAGCCAGCTTGACCTGGTTTAAGCTGGACATAGCTGGTTTTGGCTGGGCTGACAGCCTGACTAAGCTGGTTCTAGCTGGTCATTTCCCAGCCTGACCAACTAAGACCAGTCTTGAAATGGCTGAAACCACCCTGGAAATGGCCAAAACCCCTCTAAAAACAAAGCTGGTCATCCGGCTAAAACCAACTAACCAGCCTAGGCCATGGAGCATGTTTATGCATACATTTAATTATAAATGTGTCATGAATATTCTTATAATCACTTTTCTCAGTGGAACAAAGCTGAATTTGTCATTAAAATGTATCTTTATCAATATACATTTATAACAGCGTCATTAATGACATTTAAATCACATTAAATACACTCACTGGCCACTTTATTAGGTACATCTGTCCAACTGCTTGGTGACGCAAATTTCTAATCAGCCAATCACATGGCAGCAGCTCAATGCATTTAGGCATGTAGACATGCTCAAAATGATCTTCTGCGGTTCAAAGCGAGCATCAGAATGGGGAAGAAAGGGGATTTAAGTGACTTTGAGCATAGTATGGTTGTTGGTGCCAGACGGGCTGCTCTGAGTATTTCAGAAACTGCTGATCTACTGGGATTCTACTGGGTTTACAGAGAATGGTCTGAAAAGAGAAAATATCCAGTGGGCGGCAGTTCTGTGGGCGCAAATAACCCACCATGTCATAAAGCTCAATCATCTCAGACTGGTTTCTTGAACATGACAATGAGTTCACTGTACTCAAATGGCCTCCACAGTCATCAGATCTCAATCCAATTGAGCACATTTGGGATCTGGTGGAATGGGAGATTGGCATCATGGATGTGCAGCCGACAAATCTGCAGCAACTGTGTGATGCTATCATGTCAATATGGGGCAAAATCTCTGAGGAATATTTCCAGTAGCTTGCTGAATCTATGCCACGTAGGATTAAGGCAGTTCTGGGGTCCGTTCTTCGTACCTCGCTTAAATGATCTAAGATTATTTGGCAGATCCTGGATCTTTTAATCTTGATAACTGATCTCTCGCTAATTTGGTTCTTCAAACAAGTTCGCGAATTAGATTAGAATGTCTGGATGAACTGATCTGAGATCGCTGCGTGTGTTGTGAAGGACTGATCTATCGATCCTCGAAATCATGATCAGCAATGCAATGATTGGCTGACGGCACAGCAGCGTAATGACATCATCTGAGTAATATTCAATTATCCATGTGAGCAAAATTACATCAAATTAGCAGTAAACGGTTTGTTTAATATGACATGCAAGAACTCTCCACATTTGTTGTTAGCTGCAGGCTTTACACTTTCATTTGTCAGGACAAGAGTATTCATCATGCATTTCAATGCAAATCAATGTATTTAGTTCTACATTTAGAAAAGATTTTCTTTATAATAGTATCCGTTTTTTAATCGGTGTAAAGAATAACTGGTTGTTTACAAAAGCATTTTCATATTGGTAAAGGTGTCTGCAACTTTTGTGAAGCATCAATCACTGGCATATTAACTATCAAAACATGACTGCATAAATGTATTATTGCTTTAAAAAAAAGTCACATATTGTGCATTTCTATTATACACAATTTCTAAGCGATCTAAAAAGTTCATACCAATAAGTTTTCTCTTTGCACCACCAGATGGCAGTCTTTGTTCATTTCGAGGGTGCAGATTGCATACGTTTTATTAATATGTATAACTTTATTTATTTTATTAATGACTTTAACTTTATATATATATATATAGTTAAAAATATGTACCATTTTCCCAAGTGTATATAACTACTACTGTAAGAAAATATCAGAATTCGGAACATACTTACTGTATTATCTTTGCTTGAACTGAGCCGATCTAATCCTGTTTATATGAATTGAACCTGCTCCCGATCAGGTTTGACCTAGCAGAACTGTTGCCATGACAACAACTCTCGGATCAGCTTTGAAGAACGAAACGATCCTGGATCATGTCAAATCGTCAATATCCAAATCCAGCTAACTGAGTAATCCACGTACGAAGAACGGACCCCTGAAGGCAAATGCAGGTCTAACCTGGTACTAGTAAGGTGTACGTAATAAAGTGGCCATTGAGTGTATGTACCAAATTGTAGTTGAGATCAAGAAAATTATTAATGACGCTGGTATGAAATTAAATACACAGATATAATGGCCTCATGACAGTCATGTTTATGATGGATTTATGACAAGTTTTGTTGTCTTAATAATGTCAAGTTGTAAAAAAACATAAAGACAGGTTGTGATGTGTTTGCTTATTTCAAGTTGTCATAACAAAGTTATCTCAAATAAAGGCACCCTTGCATAAAAAAACTGAGCGAATGACACTTAATGACAGTTGACATAAGCATGCATAAAGTCTCATTCATATTCATGCTGTGTGCTACCAGAGTTTGACAGTTTTCTGTGCCGTCAGCTGCAGATCAAGGTGAACGGGCAGAGAGGAGGTCTGGGAATCTGTATTGCTGGAGGAAAAGGCTCGCTGCCGTATAAAGAGAACGATGAGGTGGGTTTATCTCTTACTATCACACTCCTGTAGCTCTGTTTACAGCCAAACACACACACACACATGTGCAATACTAGTACAATAGTGCAATACTGCAATATAGTATGGAATACTAACAGATAATCAGTCTGTAATTGCTGTGATGATTCGACCGTGATTCTCTTCCTCTATATACAGTTGATGTCAAAATTATTCACCTTCCTGTGAACTTATATTCTTCTTCAAATATTTTTCAAGTGACATGTAAACAGCCAATTTATAAGCAGCTTTTGCATAAGTGTGTCCTAAAAGTATGTACTCTTTTGCTGAAGAGAAAGTACATACTTCATGAGTGTGCAACAGGAGAGTGTGTAAGCTTTGGGACATACTACTTTCTTGCCAGCAGATCGTTATGTCGCTTAGTTATGTCTCCTGTCAACCAACTCATATTTCATATTTAATTACCTACAGTATTGGAGATTCAGCGGTGTTAATTAGCCATTCGCGAGTCTTTCATGCAGAGAAATCTCTGGATGATTTTGCGTTCAGAAGTTAATGACCAAACACGTCTTTATAGAAGTTCACGCTGTTGTTGCAGATGAAATTAAATGCAGAAAATGTGATTTAAATATTTTTCCAGTTGACTAGATATTAATTAAAAGTCATTAATAATAATAATAATAATAAATTCTTACATTTATATAGCACTTTTCTGGACACTCAAAGCGCTTTGCACATTTTTGGGGGGAATCTCCTCATCCACCAGCAGTGTGCAGCATCCAGCTGGATGACGCGACTGCATTCAAACAACTGAAGTCTCACTGCTTGATGGTTGGTCTTACACAGGGGGGTTAAAAATTCTGATTTCAACTGTATATATATGTAATATATAAATATATTTAAACTGTGTATATATATATATATATATATATATATATATATATATATATATATATATAAATATATATATATATATATATATATATATATATATATATATATATATATATATATATATATATATATATATATATATATATATATATATATATATATATATATATATATATATATATATATATATATATATATATATATATATATATATATATATATATTAGGGCTGTTAAAATTAGTGCATTAACGCAAGTGCTTAATTCAAATATTTAATGCGTAAAAAAAAAATAACGCAAATAACACAGTTGAAGTTTTTTTATTTTCTGTTGTGGCAGACGTGTGTTTAGGGATGGTGTGTGCATAGAGGCGAGGCAGCATAATAGTGAGCGAACCCCCGGTCTTCACTTAGATCAGCTATACCGACCCTCTACCTGACGGTCCTCGCTTTCATCAGCAAAAAGGCCACTTTCTTTTTCACTTTCGGCCTGAGGGCAGCGTGATTGCCGTTTGCCTAGAGCGCCAGTTAAGCTTGCCAAGACCAAGACCAAGGAAGCGCTTTTAGAAGGAAAGTTTTAATAAAAAACAATTAATGTTGCATC